AGAGTAAAGATGACATGTTTTGGAGTGTTGGGTCAGCAAATGAAAAGTTTATAATAGGTTTAACATAATCATAGCAGATAAGGATTTAGACGACAGTTATCCAGAAGAAGAAACTGAAGATCCATTTAGTTCTGATTATGTTTCTGGATGGGACGACGAGTACAAGGAAAAGAGTCCTTCAATTACAAGTAAGAGTAATGAATTCTAATAATGTTATTTCCTTAATATGTTTAAAGTCCATCAATATGCATCAATAAAATGGATATCTCCTGCCATTGGCACGTTTAAGCAGCTATGTCACATGGCACTGATAGCATAGAAATATGTCAGCTAGAGAAGTAGTTATGGTAGTTATGGTCCATCAGTGACTAACAATGGAAAATGAAGGGCATTAGAATAGCAAAACATGTTTATTATCTACCATGTTCATAATGGAACAAGCCTGTTGTGAACCGGTGCATTGAATTTTCTACCACACAAAATTTACAGCAGTAGTGATCAGCTATTAAAAAAGTCTCCTATAAAACAACCTTGGCATTTCACAGCATGGCCTAAGTTAGAAGATGAAACATATTTATTTACACAGCTATTAACGCTTCCTTCTGTACTTAGTTTGGGTACATGAAGAAAGGCTTCCCTGGTGGGTTATTTGGAGGGGGGGAGGTAGTGTCCTTCTAGCAGTGAGCTTCATTAACCATTCTTAGGAGAATGTATTATGACAAAATGTTTGCTTTGAGATGTTTGTTTTATTCTTTGCCAAAAGTTTGGGGTGTTTCTGATGGGGATTTTCTTTGGTTTAATTTCTCCTTGTGTTGCTGGTTTAGTACATATTGTATTCAGCGCACATGTTGGCTTCTGTGACTTCTTTGGTGGTTGCATGGCTACAGCTGAGAGAAATATTGGGTTACACTACATGTGAGGGTTTGTCCATAGTCCGTATGGACTTTGTTTGCCCTTGCATTAATGATTTGTAGTTTATTAAAATGAGTGGTTTGCATCCTTCTGCAGTGGTTGGATTCCTCCTAATTTTTCCATATGTGTGGTGATAGATTTTAACCCTGAAGGGTAAAATGGGTGTAATGGTGATTAACTGAAGACCTTTGCTTACTGTATTGTGCTTTAGCTCAATACAAAGACTTTTAACACTAAACTTGGCTTCCATAGGCACGTGGCAAGAATGCTTTATCCACATTCAGATCCGTCGTGTTCTTTTGGTGCACCATAATCCTTCAAGCTTGAGTTAAGAGTAACAAGCTGTTGCAACTATTATAATGGTGTTGTCACTATTTCCACTATTATTCTGTCGCTCTTGTTTCCCTTAATATCCTTGGGAAACTATACAGCTTCTGAGAACTGTGAGATGTGTGATATGTGATGGATGAGAAAACCAGTGATGCCATGGTAAACACTAGGCATCCATCTATATTCATCTCATATACATTAGCAATATATTGCTGATGTATAAAAAAGACTAATAAAATATGGGTGGTGGCTCAGCAAATCCATGTTGCCATTGAATCCTCCATTGTCCTAACAGCTATGGATTCTCAAAATGCTATATTTCTGAAAAACACTACACAATCTCATTGGAGACCAGTCTATATAGAGGACAAGGAGAACAAGCCTACCTCTTCCAGCAAGGGTAAAGAATTTAAATAATATAAAATTCAGCTTTGAGATATAGTTCTTGAATGTATAAATTCTATAACTCTGATGTTATGGTGAAGCCAATCCTAATGCTGCCAGCATTACCAATATTTTCATACTTCAGCTTGGTATGATACCTTTATACTTTGTGGACTAGAGCCCCCCCGAGTTGGTATCTATATATCAATTTAAATATATCTCTGTAACTTGTTCGACTATGAGGCTGCTGCTTCTGACCCATATCATGAACAATGGTGTTAAATGTGGATTTCTACATGTAAAATATCACTTACCAAGTTAAAATAAGCCTCTTTCTTATCCACTATAAAATGTCTGCTGTAAAGTCATCATTACAAACAAAAAGTGAGAAAAATGAGGTAGGTAGCTCAGGAAACAAAAAGTAAAAAATGTACGTTAGTAATTACCCATGCATATATTTCTTAGCAAAGTTATAGTCCCTAAACCATCAACAAGATCTTAGTGGGTAGGAACATGATTAAATCAGGGCCTTCTTTCTTGCTATCTATTGCATAGGACGCATGTAAAATTAGGGCTTCTTTTAGGCCCATATGGGACAAAAGCTGAGAATAGTGGAGGTGGCAATTGTGCAAATAAGTTCACAATCAATTCAAACATATTCAAAACAGATGTGGACTCCCATGGTGATGCAAAGCAAGTAGATTCAACCCAAGATCCTTTGTTGCATAATGTTCATCTTGGATGGGACAAGCAGGAAAGCAATACCAGAAATAGCACTGTGGACACGGTGAAGCCTACACTTTTCCATGAAGTGGAAAGTGGCCATTCTTCTTCAGGTATGACAATAAGTAATAAATTGGAGACAACATATATTTGCCTATAGGAATAGAAAATGAATTATAATAGTTGTATTTCTTTGTAGCCCAAGATCTTTAGGCAGACACTCAGTAGATACAAACTAGCTATAATGGAACTATGCCAGTTTACACCAGCTAAGAATCTGACTCCTGATGGCCATTTAAAAAGTGATTTCTTAGGAACATGGCTGATTTTAGATACTAGTAGATTATGATTGATGTTATACATATAACCCCTCTCAAAAGGGGGGTGTACAGTTGTGGGGACTCAGTTTTTTACAAGAGTACCTCAGTTTAACATGAGGAGACAAACAAGCTTGATTTCTATACACACATTGGCATCTAAACAGCAAGCTGTAACCCAGCATGGAAACTTGATAACAAAATTACCCCTTTCCACTGTAAAACTTCAAAAGCCAGCTCCAACAGTCTCACTAGGACCCCTTGGGATGAGCCTGTTCACCTTGTGCACAGCCCCAGCGGTCCCAGATGGCACAAGGACATTTACTGCACTACAGTCACACTGACGGCATGAACTTCTGTAGCCTTTTAAGTGCAACTTGCTCAAGCCCTGCTCTGTCACAGCAGATACTTTCTCTGATGGGGACTCCTCAGTGAGGAAGTCGATCCTTCTCTCAGTTACACTCAAACCAGGTTCCTCCACAGTCTCCCTGTGGCCTCTTTCAGTGGTACATGGAGCATACAGAGAGCAGGGCTCCTTCCACACAGCTCCAGACCAAATGACACCCACCTTGAGCTCTTCTTTCCCACTTCCCCTCCTGTAAGCCCTCAAAGCAGTTTGGGGGCTGTAGTTCAACCTAGCTCTCTGGGTCTGGTTTTACTGGGCTTGGAGAAAAAACAGCCCCTCCTGACCAGAGACAGGGGTCAGATAGAGTATTCTGATTATAAATAGAATAAAGAACTTGACCTAGTAGTAGCTTCAAAGATTTTGCTACTTTCCAATCATTACCATTACACCAGGGCTCTTGACATGTTATGTTGCAGAGGTGATTAACAAGTTAATTGTGCTTTCAGTAGCAACTAGCCACACATGCAGCTCAGTTTAAGGACTTATAATGCAGTGAATGAACCACAAAGCATATGATTTGGAATAGCTTTGTGGCTTTTTTGTATCATGCCTTCAATTGAACATGATCCTCGGACCTGTCAAAGGCCGGTGTGCCACCCAGATGGACAGGGTCTGGTGCACAGGGGACCTTGCACTGGGTTGCTGGTGCCAGGCTTGTCATGTACAGGGAGCTTTGAAACCACATGTGTCACCTAGTGCACAGGAAGCGTGGCACTGGTCTGTGGCAGCCTGATCTCTGACTCCCCATACACCTACCTGACTGTCAGCTGGGGCCAGGGACAATCAGCGGATTAGTTTCATTTTGCTGGAGTAGTGGCAGCCTAGGCTCCCCCTGTACCAGAAAGTAAGGCACAACTGGGATCTAATCCAATTGCCAAAATTATGTGTCCTGTCATGCACAGGACGTGCGATTGTTGAGATTGAGGATTAGATTCTATCACACCTAAAAGTGAATATATGTCAAGGGCCTAAAAGATCCTTTTTAAGCTCCCTAAAATTTGAGTGAGAATTAGTCCTGAGATTTCTTTACAGATATTCCTTCCTCTAATCTTGTTTCGTTCTGGACAATTGTTTGTCCCTGCTAGTGTACTGTCAAGAAATGGCTTTCTCTGGGATATGTCTTTTTTAATGTCAAACTCATGTCAAACTTGAAAGTTTGCTCGTTCTCAAAGATAGGTAGAAAGAAAACAGGAAGGAAATGTTACTACATGATATCTAAGAGTCTGGAAAACACTGTATTTTCTGTACCTAGATATTAATGAATGTTTTGGACATTTTTTTTGAAAGTTGGAATAATGACATACCAAAAGCCATTTCTCTCACAATTTAATTTCAAAATACCGGCTTTGAGGGAAACAGGCAGATGATTATCTGTATAGTGATGAGTGCCTCCGTAGTCCCTTATTCTGTTAACATGTGAGCATGTGGAGAGGAAGAAGCTCTTTGCACATACCAGTGTATTAATCTTCCTAAGAAACCATTTCTTTAGGTAGTTGAATTTGAAATTAAACCCGATACTCTGAGGCTGAGAGCACAGCATCAGGACAGATGGCAATGAGCAATATACCCTCAATAATGCTTTAAATAAGGATTTTTGGGATGTACCTTATTGTTGACTATAATATTATAAGTGGTTCTAGTTAATGAAGGTTGTGTGTCTGGAGAATGCTGCCTCTGATGGTCTTGGTTGCTGATGACATGATCCTGGTTTAGAGGATGAAAAAAATCTAAACCAACAAAAAAAACCCACTTAAGAGTGCAATATTTCTTTCTTAAGACTTTATGTGGTGGGTTCTTCATGTCTGAACGTCCATGGTGTGATTTTTCTGGATTACCTCTTTTTGCTGCCATTTTAACTTCTATAACATGTGTCTTAGGCCATAAACACATGAAATAGATATCCCAGGAAAACCTTAGCAGTCTGAGACAGGAGGAGGAGGGACTGAGATAACATAATTTAACACAAAAAACTGAGAGAAATCTGTCCTACTTCAAGAAATTTTACTCTGCTTCAGATTCAGAGACATTTCTTCTTGGAGCAGTATAACTACTTCCTGGGATAGCTCTTCATTTGTGTAGTTACCTCTTGGGTTTTGCTTTGAGGTTTCCCTTTCCTGTTGTATAGCCATGGCTTTGGCAAAATGCTAGTATTACTACTTTCTCATTTCTGGAAGCTGCTCAAAAAAATGGATAGGTTCTACCTTTATTCTATAATCACATTGAACTAGCCATTGCAATCATGCCATCTGGTGAAGGTGTTGATGATTCATAACTGAAATGCAAATGGTGGTGGTATGTAAGGGCATTTTTTGCTTCTTTTCTCTGTAGCTCAATGATGTCATGTTTAATAAAGTATATAATATTTTCTATTATGCCTCTATTCTCTATAACATTGACTACCAATAAAAAAACATGATGTTGTTTTTCAATCTTTTCCCAACTATCTTATCAAAACTACTTCTTCATTTGGTGCAGACATGAGCAACTGTTCTATAGAGATGGGTATAGCCCCAAACCAGAAGGGTGCTGGCTACATGTTCTTTTATGGATCCATATTAGAACATTGTCAATGGATGATTGAGATATCAGATATTCTGTAGAACAACAGAGAAGGCATTACTCTTGCTTTTATACTTGCTACATTAAGAATACGATAGGGTGTGTTTTAAAAACAAGAAATGAATTTCAGGGTAATGGTGGTGGTTCTTTTGCAAATATGAAGTTCAAAATTGATCCAAACATTGTTGTAGCAGCTGAGGACTCCAGTGAAGAAAAGCCAACCCAAGACCCACTATTCCTCGGTCTTCACCCTGGAAGGAATGTTGTAGACCATTCTCTCAATGCCACCAATGATAATGTGCTACCTGGAATTACTCCTCCAGCTAAAAGTGAACATTCTTCTACAGGTATTAGTATGAGTTACTAAGTGAGATCATGGAAGCACTTATATTTTCTGCAGCATTAGATCCATTTTGAGTTCAATAATGTCTGAAACTAAATGTCAATACATTTATTAGACAGGGATACCGTTACCTTTAGGGAATGGAGAGCATTGTCCCATTGTTTTTGCTATACAGTTAATTGAATAATGTTGAGTTAATTAGGTTAAATATAAAGCTGAAACGGAGCTTTGGATTTTGAGAGTGTTTAAGCACCTTGTTCCACTTCATCCCATTAAGGAAAAAGACACAAGCTATACAGTACCCAGATTTTTATTAGCTATGGAGATAACAGCTATATTTTGATGGGGAGTGTGCAGAGATGCTTTATTCTACTGGAAGCCAGAGGATGGAGTGAGACAAGCACAGTGTGGTAGACAGTGGGATTGGGCACATTGCACCATCCCTTTGGATGTGCATGAGAAACTTCTTAACATCCTGTTTAGAAAAGGTAAAAATATTGCTTCTGGCGGTAGCATGTCATGCAAATAGCATGAGATGGGACAGATAGAAGTGCATTACTTTTTAGTTAGCTGCTTTATTTATAGGTGCATTGGTTTTTAAGGCCAGAAATTACTATTACTATGATCTAGTCTTATGTGTTGAATAAGAGATTAAATTTCAAGTAATTCTTCCATTAAGCCCATATTAGTGTGTTGAGCTAAAGGATTAGTTAGTGAAGTTTGTGTATATGTAAAAATACCTTTTATGAGATTTCATTGCTTGAAATGTGGATTTTGAGGAAAGAATGATAATTCCTTACAAAATATCTGAACTTTTTTCAGTATATTTAGTGCAATTTTCTCTAGCTGTCTCAATCTTTGAGATGTGGTTTATCACTTATTGTGCAGGGCAGTCTTTATTCTGTGCTTCTAATTATGAACTTTTAGTTCACCATAAACCTGTCACCTATGGAATGCATTTAGTCAAGGCGAATATTCTTAGACTGTATTTAGACAGTCGTCTTAACCCTATATGCATTATGTTTTCCAGTGCATCTTTGGAAGGCTTTTAACTTTGATGGGTAAATCTGGTATGGTGGTGGTACTTCAAGACATTTCTGACTGCATCTCTTTTTGTCTAAGCAATAGCAACTTGAACAATGATCAGGGTATGCATTTATTTTATCAGCA